TTAATATGTTTGAATAAGCAAAAAAAATACAAAAGTGCCACAAAATATTTGCTCAATTTCAAAGCACGCTGCATAATATTTTGACATAAACCACCATCATTGCCAAATAATGTTTTGTTAATTAAAAGTTTAATGATAAGAATGAGATAAAAAAGGTAGAGACATAAATGCAACAATAAACAGAAAAATTGAAGACATTTAATACAATTAAATAGTATAATGTCAACATAACTACCAAGGATTTTTAGTCATGTCGTTGCCTTGTTCCCTTATTAAGACACAGGCTGGATTGGGTTGGTATGGCCTTGTATATTATTTTAAATTTTTTACGAATAATTTTTTTTTAAAAAAAAATAATAAAGTCAAGATTTTATTTACTCAAAAGTGAAAAGGGTGATCAGAAGGGACATTATTCCCGTCCCTAACCCATAGGAATAGGAGAAAATGGGGGATTCTCGCCATCCCTTACGATGGTCTTGTTTCGTTTCATAATCATTTGAATCTACATTAGAATTGTCAGTAGTAAATATACTTCGAACAATTTTTGTACGGAATTTGATCGATAGTATTATTTTAATAGTAATTCATAATAATTTGTGCAAATTAGAATATGTATACATAACAAAAAAAAAAAAAAAAAATCAATGTTTAAATTCAAATGATCACTAAACTTTGGACCAAAATACTGGACCATAGCATTTTCCAAAAAAATAAAAAAAAAGTGTTTCCAAATGCATTTCTCGTATCCATGTCTCTAGACTTCCAATCCTTGATGATGCTCCTTGGAGCGAGGTCGAAATACATCTCATAACCTTCATTTAATTTTTTGCTATCTGTTGCGGTTTTTATATCGTATGTATACGATATCGTAACAAGCAGTCTAATGGACATTTGAGTCTGGATATCATTTCCACGAATGCTATACTTCAGGACTTAATCAAAAAAAATTCTAACTTCTACTTGATAAAAGCAAGTAAATAATTATGATAGTTGTGATTATTTTTCTTAACTATTTTTAACTAATTGAAAATATAAAAAAATTGTACACGGCGTATAATTGAAGACTCAAATATGTGATGAATATTATAGCATAAAAATTTCATCTTTTGATCACATTAATTCTTAATTCTAGAATCATAACAGAATGCAGTGCTCGATCAAATTCTTCTATTGTATTCAATTTACTTCCTTCAAGTTCTCATTAAGCCTATTTTTAATTAAATTTCATATCTCTATGTGAATTAATTTTAGTTAAATGAAACACTAGTTCTAAGAATTCATGTTATGACCGCAATAATTAGTATATGTATCTCTACACGTTATTCTAATTTATTGGATTTTATTATATAGTCTAAACCTCAACTTATATCTCGATTTGTAAGAGACTCGCATAATTATCAAATTATTGATCAGATAATTTAATGCATTAAACTCATAATAAAACCAACACATAAATAAATAAATCACAGAAATCTTGAATAAAAAAAAAAAAGGATTACAAGTCGACTAGATTGTTTTTCCTAATATAAAAATTAGTTATTCATATTGGNCTCAAACTCATATCTCGATTCGTAAGAGATCACATAATCATCAAATTATTGATCAGGTAATTTAATACATTAAACTCATAGAAAAACTAACACATATAAGAATAAATCACATAAATTTTAAATAGAAAAATAAAGGATCATAAGTCGACTATATTGATTTTCATAATATAAAAATTAGTTATTCATATTGTAAAAATAAAAACACGCAAAATTAGAACATCACCAGAAATTTTTGGTGTCTGCCTCCTCTTTTCCTTTTTTTTTCTCTTTTCTTTCTTTTTTTCTCTTTCTTCTTCTCTCTGCATAAAATCTTTTTTCTCTTTTCCCTTTTTGCTGGCAGCACTTCTCTCTCTCTTTCCCCTCTTTCTTCTTCTTTTATTTTTCTCCTCTTTTTTTCTTCTTCTGTTTTTGCCATCGTTCTCGTGTTCTCCTGTGTGTTTTCCTCCCCCTTTTTCTCTTTATATATGTGTGTGTGTGTTTGTAATTTTGTCCTCCAATTAAAATTTTTAGTGCAAGTCTATTGAGACTCATTTAACTCGAACTCATTTAATATAATATTTTTCTCTAAGATTTCATCTTTGAATTTTGTTATTTTTCAGCACTTTTGCATTATTTTCTCAAATTCTTCATTAAACATAAAGTTTTACCTACAAAACACATAAATTGGTAGAATTTTATCCAAAAGACAATAAAATATCATGATTTAGGATATCGAATAGGTTTAGAAACTACGTTTATCAGACCCCAAAAATTGAATCTTTGTTTGTCTTCAAACAAAATTGAAATCTAACAAACACACAAACATGCAATACTAAATATCTAATTGGTGGCCAGTCAATCAAATAAAGTAACAAGATTTAGCTAGTAAATATGGTTTTTTATACCGAGATTGAAATCATACTAACAAATCTATACACAATTTCAAAATCACAATACAAAATTAAAATCTACCTTTCCAATGTAAAATCGATGTGTGTGTGTGAAAAATTAAATATAGCATTATGAATTTATAAGTTGTTTCAATTCTCGACCCTCAATAATTAAATATGTTATTTCATCACTCGTAACATTCACACATTTCCAAACTTATTCTTTTCATTTTTTTCTAGTGTGTGAAGTAAGGTTGGATTTTTTACTATCTCCACCTCTTTAGTTTTACAAAATTTCATCATTTACATTTCAACATTTCAATAAATAATGATTCTACATTAAGTTTGATTGTTTCAATCTCTAGAACTTAACTAGGTTAACAATCTATTTTCAAAAGTCAAATTTTCTTAAACAAGTGTTTGAGACTTAACCAAAGCTTGGTGCGTCTTCTATTTCATGCACCTGCTTTTTCTGATTTTTTTAATGAATATTTTTTTCTTTATTTGAAGCATTCTTGTCACGCGTTTTCTATAACGTAATTTATACCGCAAGTGTACGGTGCCAAATTTTGTAATATAGTAATAGAGTTAAGAGTGTTGAACCCACAAATATTGTAATTTAATTTTGTACTAAGTACTATAATTATATAGCCTTTATTTTATCTAGACGAATGAGTTACGAATCAATATTGTTAACTAATTTGGCGGCGAATTCAATGAATACAAATTATATGAATTTAATCAAGATAGAAAAGTTTAGGGAATGATTTCACATAACTATCAAATATGATTCTAAAAAACTTAGTTAT